CCCAAGGAGAAAAATCTGGCATCGGGTTGTCCGAAGTAAATGGGTGGTACCATGCGTTTTTTAAGGATTTCTGTGTACGTAAAAAAACCGCCAATTTTCGAATTTTGAAACTCTTGATGCATTAAAATGTTCGTATTTCAAGGGGAAGTCAAATTGCAAATGCAAGTATAGGTCTAACTCTTATTCTACACGATGTACATTGACTTTCTCATTTTTCCGAACTTTGTTCCTTTATTTTTATAGGGGGTGTGGTTGCACAGAATTCAAAAAATGTTGTGGTACATTTGTCCTTGTACCCACAATTGCATTTACAATTAATTTTATTTGATTCAATGAAATCGATGCGAAAAGCTATGGAACGTATCCGTCATTTTATCTCTATTTATAAGTTGTTTACAAGTTTACAATATTTTTTCATATGTTACGCCTTAAGTTGAGTTAAAATTGATACTCTACGATTGATACTCTACGCTTGGATGGGATGATAGTTTTTTTCGAAATTTTTGTATTCTCTGGTCAAAGAATTAGAAAAATTGTAACCACAGTTTAATAATTTTTCGAATAGTACATGATGAATGGCTCTCGCAGCCAGATATGCATAGCGTAATGCTATGCAGCGAAAATCCTCATTGTTTTTTATACTTTCGGTAAATAAAAATAAAATATATTTTTAGTGAAAACTAGGGCACAACACACCAATATTAGGATCGAAACCAATGTTCTCGACAGCGTCGGCAGGCAGCATAACGGTGACACACATCACATGACGTAGGTAGAGGCATCACATTGCTACTCATTTAGCACTTTTAGTTGACTAATTCCTGGCTGAATAGAATTATATTCACTCTCTTCCGGCGTATGATTATGTCCAACTTTCTCACATTTTACAATCTCACCTGCGTTATTCAATGTCTTCAAGATTCTGCTTCTCAGTTTGTCGTAAGGTTTATTATATTTCACGCTCACTTGCGGAGAGAACGAAACGCTGTTTTTCACTTTCATGGTTTTACAGGTCAAGTAGAAATATTAACTCATTCCCCATCGGGTGATGATAAATGGTAGTTTCACGATCATGAGACAATATGCATTACGCCGTTTTGCGAAAAAAATAAAGTCACACTAGGAGTAAAGGACTCGGTAATACGAATTAGAGTATTCTGTTTCACAGAGATCATCTTCAAACTGAAGATGTCTATTTGAGTTTGGAGGTATCAAATTTCGACCTGTCAGACGTAATGGTCTTATTCTCATCAAGATCTTGACCTTGAGAGAGAGTTCTGAGGGGTGGGTCGAGTCGTAATAACAACCTCGGTTGGGGTCTTCGTAAAATTGTAGAAAAACTGCAGAAATAAGATAACGAGATTGAACTCGAAGATGAGCGACGGCTGGAGACCATTTCTGCGCCTTCTGAAGGTGTTTCCTTCAAAGAAGGAAACACACTAAAATCCAACTCTCCACCACCAAAGTTTATCGTTCTACCGTACCTTTTCACAACATTGTATATCAATACTTTACTTAATTCCTTAATAATAATCAACAATGGACATTCAATCATCACTGGTTTCAACTTCCTCTGCTACTGCTCTTGCTGCTGCTGCGGTTGCTGCTGCTGCTACTACTATGGGAACTGATACTGAGGGAGAAGCAGAAACCCAATTTGCGTTTATCTCTGAAAAAATCAATTCCCAGATTTTTTGGCTATAAACGATGTCCAGACAAGAGTTAGACAAGAAAATGAAGACCGCCACAGCGAGATATCAGCACCAAATTCTCCTGCAGAAGATGCAGCCTTGCTGAAAGACAAAATTTCTGGATTGCACGAAATTCTTGCCGAGTCCAGGCGAAGCCATGATTTCATCTTCGCAACCCTTCAACATTTCCGTGTGGAACTAGTGAAATCGAAGAAAGCCATGTGCTTTCCTACTATAGTGCGGAGGAGGCTGCAGCACAGCTCAACACTTATGTTACACAAGTAGTGGACTTGCTTTTAAAAACTCAATCAAAACAGATAGAAAACTACATAGAAAACTGTGGACCTGATGCTATTCGTCGTCAAGGCACTAGTGGCTCGCGACAGAAAAGATATCTAGAAATTGCAATTTCTCTAAAACAGAAGGTCGACAAATTATGTCACGACGGGGATAGGGGATCCGGGGTCCAAGGCTCAAGTAATATCGTGCCTATGTGACACATGTTTAAGGCGGGAGGCGAGGGGTTCTAGGAATTCGCGATTTTTGCGTGCCATGATTTAAATACGGCCTCATATTGACAATATTACTTAATAAATGATTTCAGCCGTTAAAACTGTCAATTTCTCGGACGTTTACGTGACTTTACGCCGTTCGTTGAAAATCTAATCTTGCACAGTGAAGGATTTAAGAGCGTAGAAATCTCGGGGCGGGTGGTGGGTAAAATAACTTTAAACATAAATTTGGTGTCGAAGTTCCTCAGTTTTCTACTGATTCAGGTACCGGAACGAGTGCGACCCATTTTTGAAGCGAGTGGTGCACCCATTCATTTTACGGGCGCCGTGGTTCACAAGCAAGTCAGAGGAGTGTTTAATTAGTGGGGATTCAATACCTCAAAGTTTTACTCGTAATTTTCTATCAATTCTGCCACATTGTGTAAGACACGGATAAAACGTTCCCATAATGTAAATGTTCCCATGATTTGCATGCATGTATTTACAAAAAGTATAGTTTGCAAAATTGCTTAGCTCGATTTCCAGCTCCAACACTAATAATTATTTTAATGAAAAAAGTCTTACTTCGAAATGCATATATGTTTGTTGTTGGTCATAATGTATAATTTCGATGCGTTGCTGCAACTTCGTGTCTGTGTTTGTCTTTTTTGTACATACATATACATATAACTGGAGTGGTTTAAATATGGAATAATTTGAATTCCGGAAATGTAAGACAGAATGGCTGTATGTTTCTTTTTCTTGGCGTGGGGTGAATCGACCCCTGTCAGAGAAGGATGCATAGAGTCGAAAGGATACCTTCCGGGCCTGGATGAACTAACGTGTGCGACTTTTTGGAAAAAAGTATTTATGCAAAATTAATTCTAAATACAACCTAGTCTACATATGTACATACTGTCGGTTTTCTCATTTTAGATTTAATTAATTCGAAAATATGTTAAATACGTTAATGTAGGACACTTACCCCATTTTGTACATACGGTGGAATTTTTGTGCGTAACACCCACAGAATTATACTATTATATCTCATTCTGCCCTAATTTCACCACATTTGGCATTTACGTAGTTGATTTATCTTTGCTTGACAAACTTTGTTGCATAGTAAATGTCGTATTATACCAAGAATCGTATGTTTGAGGGAAGTTCAGCTCAGGTAGCAATAATGTGTGAGTATACACATATATTTGTATACGCGTTTAACGTTCACTTGATTTTTAGTGGCAAGACGCATTTTAGGTTCTAGGTGAAAGGGAAGATTTATCTGTTTTACAATCAATTTTCGCCAGAAACAGGGTTTATAGAGCTGTAAGTGTACATGTTTCTCTGTTTCTAGATTTTTTCGTAAATGAATATTTTTTTAAGACAATTCTCATATGTACATGTCCCGTCTCTGGTTACCAACTAGACTCTTTCACTTTCACTCAGTCGCTTAATTTGATTTGATTTGATATCCTTTATTCATGTGTCATTAAATATCAGTTAAATACAAACTGGTTTACAACCCGTGACACTTTGAGCTAATTCTCTGTATAAGCATGTTTCTAATTATTATTGACTAAAATTAATAGTAAATATGCCGCTTGCTTATGTATATGCTCATGATGAAGGTACTTGAATAATAATACAGCAGGAAGTAGTAGTTGTTGTAAGATGATGTTATTTACGTAACTTTTTTGTCAAAATGTTTCAAAATACATATTACACATATTGGAAAGAGTTTTGTTACAAGACTTGCTTATTCTTTACTTTATAAACATAGGAAATACATAAATTCTCCTTTGAAGAAGTCATAGTGCTCTGGGAAAGCTTTTCTTATCTTATCTAGCTTCCTCCTGAAGAAGCTATATTCATGAGATATTTATTGTGACTTCGGGTAATCTCTAATTAAATTATAAAACCTAAATATGTTTTCAATGAAAGATACCCCTGCCCTCTAATTATTAATTGCCCAAAATTTGAATTACAACCCTTTGGGTATTCCACCTGATATCTATTCTTTAGTTCCGATATAGCTTGACCTACCTGGCAAGCAAATTTCTTATGCTTGCGGTCTAACCCAATATATTTGTATCAAATTCTAAAAGAGCCTGGGCTACCTCCGCCTAGTCTTTTATAGATTTACCTTGTACAGTCCACTGAATAGCCTCCAAATTGCAGTCTACATGTCTAATGTACGAGGACTTTAGACTTTCAACAAATAGCTAAAATAATATACTTAATCGAATATTCGACAAATGTGGTGGAGAGAGATTTCTCTCTCCCCAAAATAACCCTCTTGACTGGGAAGCCAAGATTCCACGCCAAGATAAATGTGAAGATGAATAAAACCCCACGACCAAAGAAGAAAAGGGGCTCTCTCACCATCCGAGAACATAGGTGCGCAGCTTCCGACTTCCGGAAGTCGGAAGCAGCTTCCGGACGCCGGAAGCGGCGATTTTTGGTCGGAAGCGGAAGCCCTGGAAGCTGGAAGCGAAAATTTTGCTCGGAAGCGGAAGCACTGGAAGCTGGAAGCGAAAATTTTGCTCGGAAGCGGAAGCACTGGAAGCTGGAAGCACAAATTTGGTCGGAAGCTGGAAGCACAAATTTGTTCGGAAGCTGGAAGCACAAATTTGGTCGGAAGCTGGAAGCACAAATTTGGTCGGAAGCACTGGAAGCACAAATTTGGTCGGAAGCGGAGGCACAAAAATTTGGAGCAAGTAAGAGTTGAGTTTGAGTTCTATGTGAATTTGGGACTCATGCGACAATTGCACCGCGTACATTTGAAGGAATCATCTGACCGAAACCAAAACAAGTTTGGACATTTGCAATATTAAGTTTAAATTAAGTAACTCAATATTGTGTAGTATTTATTTCGGCAACACTTTTACAGCCAAACTAATTGCTACTAATTGTATTATTAATCAATTTTTTTCTCAGGGAGGTACAACTTTGCTCGGTTTCAATGTAAGGGTCACGAAAGCATCCCGCCAACACTGATTATGTCGTCGAATAAAAAACTAAAACAAAGACGACTGCAGTTTGCTTGGCAACCGGAAACTCAGGGGGCATCAAGATCATTGATTCTCGTTAATGACGCCGAGACAGAAACCGAAGCTGGAGATCAAGATTCAAGTCGTAAAAAATGGATAAAGGAATTAGAACCTTACTTTAACTATGAGAGTGGCAAAAAGAATTCTGAAGGTTGCACAGTCATTACAATGGTATGCAAACTATGTTCTCAAGATGACGCCAAGTCGCCTCAAGACAAATCGACTTCTATTGCGGATAAAACAAAAAGTAATTTTGTACGACATTTGAAGGTATATTTATAAGCAGTTTGACAATATTTTAAAAAAATTGGTAAAGTCACGAAGATTTTCATTATGATTATTTATTTTTAGCGACTTCATGCAACCCAGCACACAATGTATGAAGAGGAGTTAATTCGCGACTCGTCTGCCTCCAACGCAGGTGCGCTTTCTGTGGTATCCGGACTGACAAAATCAAAAGCCCAATCGATTGACTTATATCCCCCCAAACATTCAGTCCAAAAAGATTTTGAGAAATGCTCTTAGAATTCTTCTTGTTGGATTCCGTCCATTTTGATCTGGTTGGTAGATTAGGTTTTAAGCGACTGTTGCATCACCTGAATCCAAAACTTCGTATCCCACACCGACGAACTCTCGCCCGACACCTAGATGTTTTGAATTCCCAGGTTTTTAATTATTAAATTTACGGCTCACCGAAATTAGCTAATTATATTTTCTTAATGTGTAGATTTCAGATCTGACCCAGGGTTTATTGAAGTCGTTGCAGCCACGATCATTAAACGTAATTTTAGACATATGGTCATCTCGTCAAAAAAAATCCGTCATGGGGGTTAAAGTGCAGTTCATTCATGGGTGGAGGATGCACCAGCTAGTTATTGGATTTCAACATTTCCCTGAATCGCATACTGGCGATAATATCAAACGGTGTTTGCAGTCGATTCTTGAGAAATATGGCATTACTAATGATAAGGTAATTTTACTTAAATCGGTCATGGGTCACTACGCTTTGTTAGAATTTATTAGGTAGGTACAGTGGGTACCAAAATAAATTGTACGATAGGGAAATCGCTCTCTCACACACTGACTATGGACGCAGCTTGAAAATTTGCAGAATTGTGGTAGAATGTTGGTCCTGCATTTCAAAAATGGCAATAAGGTCAAAGGTTGCAATTTTGACCCAAAAGTTTATCCATCACACAATTTATTTTGCACCCCACTGTATAATGTAATAAGGGCGACCATAATATACTAAATATAACGATTGCTTATTTTACAGGTTGGAACGGTCACGGCGGATAATGCATCAAATGTTCTCGCAGCCTTCAAAATTGCAAAAATTGATGTTGATAATAATGAAGACCTAATTTATGAAGACGAACTAGAAATATCGGACAATGAGGAGTATGGTGATTCGGATTTGGAAGATTTTGACAATACGGCTGAAGAGACTGTCCTCCAAGTAGATATGACCACGGAACGAAATGGCTGCCTTCTCCAATTAGCTATTAAGGATGCATTTTCCGAATGTGAATTTGCATCACAGTTATTACGCAAAGTGAACCAGGTGGTTAACTACTTTCACAGGAGCAATTTCTGGTACACTCGACTTAGGGAGACAGTAGGCGACTTGTCGTTATTAAAGCCATGTACTACAAGGTGGAATTCCCAATTTCATTGTTTAAAGCGAATTTTCGGCGAAAATCGACAGGAGGTCCATTTATTTTATCGTTTATCATTTACTGATTTAACTTGGTGTTGTGTTTTCCGAGATATATAATTATAATTCATTTAATCCCTTAGATTGATTTTGTCGGTAAGATTAATATTATCTTAAACGAAGCCCGATCCAAAGCGCCGTGCCCTCGTGCCAAGAAAACATTGCCAGCAAAGAAAATGGTAACTCCAAGTAAAATTATATATAACTAGCCTATAAGCCCGTCCTAAAGACGGGCCACATGAAACTTTTTAACGCTGCTAAGGAATTTTTTCGTCTTGCGAAGGAATTTTGTCGACATGCTAAGCAATTTTCTTGAAGTTATTAAGGAAGTTTTTTTATGTTGCTAGGGAATTTTTTTAACGTTGCTAGGGAAATTTTTTTATGTTGCTAAGGTAATTTTTTTATGTTGCCAAGGAAATTTTTTTTTTGTTGCTAAGGAAACTTTTTTTTATGTCGCTAGGGAAATTATTTAACGTTGCTAAGGAAAGTTTTTTATGTTGCCAAGGAAATTTTTTAACGTTGCTAAGGAAATTTTTTTCAGTTGCTAAGGAAATTTGTTAACGTTGCTAGGGAAATTTTTTTACGTTGCTAAGAAAATTTTTTTGTGTTGCTAAGGAATTTATAATCATAATGGTAATCATAATCATAATCATAATCATAATGGTAATCATAATCATAATCATAATCATAATTATAATCATAATCATAATCATAATCATAATCATAATCATAATGGTAATCATAATCATAATCATAATCATAATTATAATCATAATCATAATCATAATTATAATCATAATCATAATCATAATTATAATCATAATCATAATCATAATCATTATCATAATCATAATCATAATCATAATCATAATTATAACCATAATCATAATGGTAATCATAATCATAATCATAATCATAATCATAATTATAATCATAATCATAATCATAATTATAATCTTAATCATAAGTATAATCAAAATCATAATCATAATTATAATTATAATCACAATCAAAATTATAAGTATAATCATAATTATAATCACAATCATAATTATAATCATAATCATAATCATAATTATAATCATAATCATAATCATAATTATAATTATAATCATAATCATAATCATAATCATAATCATAATTCGTATCTGTTCCCTGATTGGTGGAGCAGGAAAACCAACAGCCAATCAGAATGCAGGAATGTCACGGAAACTTCCACGGGACGGACTTTTCGAAATTATAATATAGATAAATCGAACGAGCGATAATAGCGGCCATTATGTATACATTTATAGGGACCGACCAGCAGGGTTAATATTCCCCCAGTAGAACCTGCAACTCCAAGGAAAGGCAAAGTTCCAGGAAACTTTACCGACGATGACGTCATCACATTAAAGACAATTATGGAGTTATTGGAACCCTTTGCTGAGCTGACGGATAAATTCCAAGGCGATGGCGTAACGTCATCATTAGTAATTCTTGGGACTATTCACGCTTTAAAATGTGATACAGCTTTTAACCCTTCACTTAAACAAATTTATATGCCTCATAATAACGTTTAATATTGTATTAACAGGTGCTAAGGAGGTCAAAATTGATGAGGATCTCGAGCCTGAATTGATTAAAAATTTGTGGGATTTCAAAAATGCTTTGTGTGAATCTTTTATTACAAGATTCTCACATGACATGGAGAGCGACGAACCAATTATTAACAAGGCCACTGGGAAACCACGTCGAATTGTTACATATAATGTAATGCGGAATAAAAATTTCATATTGGCTGCTCTATTGGACCCACGCATTAAGAGTGTACCGTTCAATAGTAAAATCATAACTTTATTAAATATACCATAATAATTATTATTAAGGCTTGCTTTGATACTAAACTGAGTCTTGTTTACATATGTAGATACCAGCATGCACGAGATTGAATTTGCAAAGTATCTGCCCACAGCAACTGAAGCCATTGCATACTTGAGAGAAGCAGTGACTTCTTTGAAACCGAACCCGATTTGTGATGAACTTGTCGAATTGGATAATGCTGCATCGTCCGAAGAAGAGCCGCTAATAAAAAAGAAGCGAAGTATGTTTGATCTTGTTGTAGTTCCTCAAACTGAATTTGAGCACACCATTGATGAAGTGGACGATTACTTCAAAACGCCCCTACTCAAGGAAACTGATTCGCCCTTGTACTTCTGGGAAAGAAACGAAGACAAATATCCGTCGCTATCTGTCTAAGCCAAGCTATATTTGTCAATACCCACCTCGTCCGGATCTATGGAGAGAACATTTTCCATCGCTGGATCAATTGGACGAGCACGCAGAGCACGATTAACGATAGACAACATAGAGAAAATGTTATGCTGCCAACAATACTTACTAAATACCATTAAAATTGAGTAGATATTATATGTAGACTAGCAAATAGTATTCGGACAGAAATAACTAATCTGTTACGCCTAATGCTAATGACTGCTAATGATACACTGTTATGCAAATGGAATAAATTTTTATTGCAATTTGTAATTAAATTATTATTCATAGTACAATTTCTAATTATTTCAATAGTAAATGGTTATCACAACGTCAATTACGTTTGCATATGAAATAAAAAATATTGAAGATAACTAATTGCATTTGTTGTAGCCCGATGAAGCCTCCGGGGCTGATCGCACACTACTAGTCCGCAGAGGAAAATTTTTCTAAGGGTGTGTGCTGACAGTGACAAGCGCAGTTTTGCTAATTATTATTAGCATACTTTAAGTTTGTATCAAATACAAATCTGGACCCGAGCGGAAGTGCTGGAAGCGGAAGAACCAGAACCGAACATTTTGGTCGGAAGCGGAAGCACTGGAAGCTGGAAGCGAAAATTTTGGTCGGAAGCGGAAGCGCTGGAAGCGAAAACTCTGGTCGGAAGCGGAAGCACTGGAAGCTGGAAGCGAAAATCTTGGTTGGAAGCGGAAGCACTGGAAGCTGGAAGCGAAAATTTTGGTCGGAAGCGGAAGCCGGAAGCGGAAGCTGTTGGAAGCTGCGCATCTATGTCCGAGAACCGAAGGAGGAAACAAGAAGGAAGATTAGATTAGGTTAGATTAGGAGTAGTGTATAAGTTAGCAAGTAAGTTAAGATAAGCTTCGGAAAGAATGATCGAATGAAAGAATAAACTCGAAGTAAAAATACAAATAAGTTCAGCATTAAAAAGGATTCTCCTTTAATACATACACACATCCACGTCAAGGGACATCCAGCTTGACAATGCTGTAACAAAAGTGGTGGACCCTGGCAATCGTTCTCTTATACCTCTTACAAGAAAAATAATATAAACCCAAGTGACCAATACTGTTTAAAAAACTATAACTCTACATCTGGACATATTTTCCTTTCTTTAATTTATGGTTTTGTTTGGAGCAAACAACTGCTGGCCCAGAAACCCTAGCTTCTGAAAAAATGTGGAGACATTTTGGTGAGATAGTATAGCGTCAAGTGTACCTTCCTCCACAACTCGTCTGTTCATCTCAATGTGCCTCGAGACTTATTTACATCTCAGTGTGTCTAACGCTGTCTTCTGTCTCAACGTGCCTCACGACCTCGTTTCGTCCTAATAACTGTTCGGAAAAAATAACTCAATTATTCGGTAATATCAAACAAATTCGTTTTTTCCTTTCTCCTCTTGTGGTGTGTTGCTAGAAGGCTTTTTATTTTTGTTACAAATTATGCCAAAAGACCGTAATTCACTTCCAGCGTGACCTGTTGGCCATTCTGACTCGCTACCCCTTAATGCTGACAGATTCGCCGTTATCAATTGTGAAATATACTGGTCAGCAGCAACGTCGCTTTTTACGACTCAAATTTCGTCCTGCTTCCTTGGAAAAACATGCAGTGCTGCTTGTTCTAAACCAATTGCAAGCAAATTCGAATCATCCATTTTTAACTTTCTTCCCGTTCCACGTTGAACCAACCACTTTTATTTCTTTGTTAACTGTGATGCATCAGGCTATTAGTGAGCAATTGATTGCCAATTTTTCTCGTCTTTGTGCTCCTAAAAACAACTGAAATTTTTGGTTTTAACTCATTTCATTTTACATGTGGAGAAAGGTATTCATACGGGTTTATTTGAGAGCAAAATTTTTACTCTAAACAAAAATTTATCACTACTCAACCATTGTGTTTCCTCTTCACAGCATTTCAATTCTGGAATTTTCAATATTTTTTCCAACATTTTTATCCAACAGAACTTGTTCTCTTGTTTTTAAATGTTCACGGGACACAACATTTAAAAATTTTGGGGTGAAATTTATCCTCAAATTTATCCTACATAGCTGTCAATATCTTTCTATAAGGTATCTTTTAGTTAAGCTATATTTAGCTCTTCTGACATCACTGAGTTAAAAATATCCTTAAAATATCCATAATTAATCGCCTTTGATAGTTCGAGGAAAGGGTGCCCATTTTGTTAGCAACACTCTTTCATCAGGGGTACTTATGTACATAATATGAACTCATGGTTTTAAAAATACTTCCTTTTTGCTTGCCTTTATTTGGTCTTCGATATTTTGGTTTCACGGGTCTTTACTTTCATCCTTAAATATTTGTAGCACCTCGAGGGGGCAATCCATTCTATATTTAGGTACTTTTGGCTCTCACCCAAACACTCGGAGAGTTGTTGTGTACAGATGCATTTTTAAATCTGGGTCTTGCTTCATGTGCGATTTGTTCATTAAATACATTAAAGCAAAACTTCATACAATATTCTTTTAACATCCGGCTTTAACTGCATGTTCTAAAGAGCCTTTTGCATGCCTTTTCCAAATTTGAGAGTTTTGTTGTTCTTCACCCTTCCTACCACCGGTGTTTTTTTGGTGCTGTGATGCTGATACACACGGTTTCCTTTTCTTACAGTGGTTATCAGTTCATCTGGAAGTTTCAAGTCTATCTTTTTCTCATAGTTGGGTGTCACATATCTTCAATTTTTTTAAATTTCATAGCAGTTTCATTTATATATTAAAGCAAAATAGGTAGTTTGAAATTTGTACCAGGGTTGTCCATTTTATAACGAACACCCA